ACAACTGGGATCTGCTCTTACTGAGAAGTTTTTTCATGTCAAAAGAAATTACCAATAAAGTGAAAAGGCAACCTACAAATTTGGAAAAAATCATGACAAAACTCATGAGACAAAAGACAATTCTCTGTTTTATAGACTGTCCCACAAATTGAAAGATGATCAACATCCCAAAAAATAGTAATAATTTCCACAATCATTATGACAATCAAAATACATTTCCTTAGTATTTGTCCCATTGAAAATCACTGGAAACTATTAAGCATTTAGACTCCTTTTACAGTTTCACTTTTCCTGTTAAAACCCCTTAACTATCAAAGAACATTTAAAAAGTCCTAAATAACTAGCATTGCCAGAGAATAATTTATATGATGCTTTGCAGGAGCTTTTGGACTGTCACTGAATCATGGGGGCCGTATAGCTGGCTTGCTATAAGGTGGTGAGGTCTGGTTAATAAGAGGTGGGTCACTGAAGGTAGAACATGGAAGGATACACCTCCTTCCCCAGCTCTCCTCTCCCTGCTTCCATGTCTCATGAAATAAGCAGCCTTCCTCTGCTATACCCTCTTCCAAGATGTTCTGCCCCATGCCTGCTGACTGGGAACTAAACTGCGAGCCTCAGATTTGGGTATCAGGTATTATGTCTCAGGAAAGTGACTTAGATGGTTTATTAGCAAGACTGCACATCAAAAGTTCTCATAAAGCTGTTTCTTTTCTTTTCTTTTTAATAAGGGAAGTGCTTGAGATTCATGAGGAGGGTTCTGGTGATTTAGCAATTTGAGTATATATCACTGTGTATTCCTAGGAAAAATCAATGTTTCGGAGAATGAGAAGTTGCACAATCCCTTAATAGAGTTATTTTTCAAGTTTGGCTATAAACCATTAATGGTTCTTGATGTTTCATGGTACATGCTGGTAGTCTATAAATGGTTCAGTTAATTTAATATTTTCAGAAGAAAAAAAGGAAACCATTTTGCTCTTGTGTAGTACATATATTTGAAGTATATAATTATAATTGTTATAATTTCTTCTTGCAGTTTGC